AAAACGTTCCTGTGTTTTCTGAATACGCCAAAAACCTGGAAGGCCACGTTAAGGAACGGTATGTACAGAAAATATCTGTGGTCGAGGTGGATCCGGCAAGCCTTCCAAGCGAACAGTTTGATTCAGAAAATGTTATCTCATGCAACAGTAAGGAATGTCCTTACCTGGAATTCCACCCTTCCTGCTTGGCATTAAATTCAGTGGAAATTTGAAAGTTATGGGTTTGTCCGCACTGTGCTAGGTTACCTCTGTTTAAACGAGGAAAGAATGCTAAACAAAGTGCAAGGTCAACTGCCAAAATACCGGTCTGCTTTTGTTTGTGACAGTATTTGCATCTGCAGCTCCTAACCAAACTCAGGTGACAAACTTCTGGAATGCCAAGGTGCAAAGTGTGAGAGTGGAAAATTTTTTCATTTAAATTGTTTTAGGTTTAAAAAGAATGCCAAACAACTCAAAGACCACTTGGAAATGTGCTGAGTGTAAAAAAGCTATACAGTCAGTCTCAGCAGCTACCACATGTGCTTCTTATGCAGTCTCATCATCTGCTATCTCAGTACCCTCCACATTAACGGCTTCTGTTAGTACAAGCTCTTAGTCAAAGAGCTCAAAGGTGAAATCAACAAATATAGTGCTCTTGCTAAGCTAGCAGAATCTGACTATCAGATTATTCTCGATCAGTCTGGGTGGCTTAACTGTGATATCATTCACAGGGCTCAGGTACTGTTGCATGAGGCAAATCCAGTCATTGAGGGTTTTTAACGGCCTACACTTAGTCCTGTGCGAAATTTTGTGGTCTTTGGTGAGTTTATACAACTTCTGCACACAGGAAGCGATCACTGGCTCTGCATCAGCTCCATAGGGTGTCTGGCTGGACATGCTGATCTGTATGACAGCCTTTACCATGACATTATAAATCAGGAGGTAGAAGAACAGACTAAAGACTTACCTGGTGGCAGTTTAAAAGCAATCAATTGTGTTCCTGTCCAGCAACAGACTACAATTACAAGTGGTAGGAATTTGGTACCTCATCAAATAAATTAATTTCATCTTGTGGTGAAAAAAAGGCTGTCACTAAGATAAAAGGGGCCAGATAATTATATGAAACTTGTTGGTCGGGTGGGGGAGATAATTGAACAACCAGGAAGTTCTATTGGCTTTATTTTTATCTTGTTTCATACGGTATACAGCAGGGGAGGGCATTCTCATAGTAGTCCGGATAAAACCTTAGTGACAGCCGTGCAAGGAGAAATTTGGTTTAATTCACTTGGGAATTAAAAAGGTTAAGGTTCTTTAATCAACCACATGCCAACTGTGCTTCATGTCTATCGTTAAGCTAGACTTTGAGTAGTCACCAATTCAGTTATTTTAATCTCTTGATTTAAACTTGTCCAAACAGACAAACTCCAGAAAGATGCATCTGAAGGAGGCAAGTTTTGGCTGGGCCATCTTGATGCATCATTTTGTGACTAGTCGCAGTCAACATCATAGAACCAAAACCAATCAAAGTGTTTTATAAAAAGTTTAAGCGATAGAGACATGCAACTGAATTGCTTTTGTGATTCCTATTTTTCTGAATACCAATTGTTGAATAACCATTTATAAAATACATGTAAGAGTCTACAGCCATTACATAATCTAATTTAAAACATCAGTGAGTCAGGTAATTCTAAAAAGTAGTAGATTAATGATGTGTTTTTTAGTGGTAAATCCGTTTTAGCATTTGTTTACAGTTAGTCCAAACATCAAGAGTCAAATAAATTGTTTTCGTGTTAGTCAATACTTGTGAGCTACCATATGACAATACACCATACACTAAATATCATTAAACCTGCTGATTAGTTTTGGGGCTAAAATTGAATGTTTAGTTCCCATTATTCAAAAAACAAAAATTCTTCAGACTAACCTCCATCTTTACTTATATCACAAGTGGTAAGAATTTGGTACCTTATCAAATAAATGAATTTCACCTTGTGGTAATTTTTATGAACCCTCGTGTTTTCTCTTCAACAACACTGTAGTTATCACTACAGTAAGGAAAAGGCTGTCACTAACATAAAGGGGGCAAGATAATTACATGCAACCTGTCGGGGGGGAATGGACAACCAGGAAGTTCTCTTGGCTTTATTTTCGTCTTGCTTGATATGATAGACAGTGGGGGCATGCTCATAGTAGCCAGGAGAAAACCTTATTGAAAGCCCTGTTAGGAGAAATTTGATGTAAATCACTTGGGAACAAAATCACTTTTCCACTCTGAAGATCCATCTGTAAAGCTAGTCAAATCGTACAATAGGGGTGCATACATTTACAAGAGCTGCACACACTCTTAGAATACGATTGATCATTGGAACCTGAGCATATGGAGGCCCATGAGGATTACATGCAAGAAAGTCAGTAGGCAGTGTACCTTCTTAAATAGTATACTTCCGACGAATCAGTCCAATAACTCGCTTGCTATGCCCTTTGTTTTCTCCACATCAACTGGGTCCAGCTGGGATTTACCTTTGGTGAATGCCGGAATAACCAGTTTTGCTTGCTTCAGGCCAACAATCTCTGTAATAGTGAACCCCTTTTCTGCCATCACCATGTCACCAGGTAACAAATGTTCTAAAAATGAACAGTCTTCTGTGAGGAACTTGTCTGATGTGTGGCCTCCCCAGGTTTCAGATACATAGGATATGCCTCCTTGAGGGGTACTTCCTATGAGAATTTTTATTGTGTTATGGTGCTGTAAGACGAAAAGGTTTGGGCCCTGGCTAGAAGATTTGTTTGCCTTTCAATAAAGACCTCGAAACAGTCAATAATGACGGTGACTTCTTTCCCAAATGCATATTGAAAACACATTGGCATGGTATGGTATAGCTGTTCTCGTTCTGTCCAGTAAACAAGAGGAAATAACTTAGCATCCATTACCACCAACTAAGCCGAGAAAATGCGCGAGACCGTAGCGATAGACACGGCAAATCTGTTGGCCAAGTCTTGAAATGGCACATTTAATCTCAGCTTCATCAGCACCGTAACAAATTCTTGAAATGTGTTCAGGGTTTGAGTGCGGCACTTGACTTGAGGTGCAGCATGTTGAAACATACTATTGAGAATTTCGTAGGACGGAAGTCCTGTGTATAATTTTACACTTTAGTCTGTCTTAAAAAACTCCCTATCAGGAGCTTGATATCCACTTCTCGAATCAGGTAGTCGAATTCTTCTGTCTGAGTTTCCGCGTCCCTATCAGGTGGTCTAGAATCACTCGATTTCCTGAACAGATAATCAAACGCCTGTGTCTGGGTTTCAGCATCCACATCAGGCAGTTCATGTGTGCTGGATTTTCTGTTGAGATGATCCAACGCATCTGTCTGAGTTTCAGCAGCAATGCCTAACGTAGATGCCACGTTCTCATTCTGGTGCGATTCAAATGTTTCGCTTGCAAAGCTCAAGGAGGCATATTCAGGCTCCATCTCTCTGTTTGCTGCATCAGCATACTGATCTGATGCACCCTCTATGTTTTCAGAGAAATCTAGAGAAGTTATTCGTGTGCCGCTTTCATTGTCTCGCTTACGTTTTGTAGCAGCTTCTAGTTCCTGTCGCTCAATGGCACTCTTTCAACGCGCTTTCGCTCTTTCAGCACTTTCTTGAGCCATCTTCAAATTCCTCTCTCTGTATTCCTTTTTCCAAGGTTCAATGTTGGAAGCCAGTCAACATTATACTTGTCCCAATGCTTAGTAGGGCTGCCTGACACAAAGTGGCGGCCACAAACTCGTTCACTTTGTCAGATATTTCTGTAGTTGGAATCACCTCGACTAATCGTCGAAATCCACCTCTCTCGACTTGTTGTCGTCAGTTTTTCCATCTGTTCCCCTTGATTTTTAACGACAGAAGGAATGCGAAACATTCCTATACCATCTTTATTTCCGGTTTTAGTTCCACAACCGACTACAATACATAAAACCATAACTGCGTCTTTTCCAGCTCTTCCTTTGTTTACATCTGAGGGGCTCCAACCTGGCGGAGGACAACACGGGGTTAATTTAAGGTCGCGTGGGTGAAAAGCAAGAGTTGGGACAACGGGGGCGAAAGTTGCCTCTTTTGAAACCAAGGAAAATGGAAGACTAGAATGTGACTTTAGTAACGACGCTTGGGGTTTGATAGTTAAAAATTACTCATTGAATTTGCGTATTTGCTAATGCATGCAGTGTTGTATGATTGACTTTGAAATTGCCCCTTTTAAGTTCGATACGCGTGAAATGTTGTTTAAAGTATACGTAAAGCATGATATTTATTGAAAATCTCTGCGTGAAACGGTGTCATCACTGCCCTCTGCGTAGGGTTGTCTTACACTAGTTTTAAACTATAAGAGATTTTTCCTTATTCATGAATGTTACCGAACTCATCGATTTTAGGGTTATTGGATCCATAGGCGCTTAAACTCAGTGTGCATCCGAATTCCCAACCTATTTACATACATCAATAAATCTGCAAACATTTCTTATTGTGTAGCTAAAAGACTTCTCCTTGCCCCGATCGATGACAAGAAAGTTGCACTAAAAAATAGGGCTACAGTCGATTAAGATGCAAATTTAAGTTAGAAAAATGGCGAAGTTTAACTTCTGCTCGTAGTCGTTCGTGCATATTCCTCCAAAAAGGATTACGAGGATTTAGAATGGGAGAGAATCAAAAAAATCAGGGAGAATTAATCATGTTGTATGAAGAACAGGATGGATTTCCATATGATTTTAAGCTGTTTACCCTCGAAAGAATAGCAACCTATGAAGACCGCAGGCGGAAGTGTGCCCAGATATTTTTGTGGGTTTTTTTTTTTCACTCGCTTGGCGAATTAACAAGAGGTACCAAAACTCTAGACTTTTCTTCTTTTATTCTCTTCTCTTCTATTGTTGCTACTACCTTCTACTGCCACAGCCATTTCTCTTCTTCTGACTTCAGAGAGGAGTGCCCTCTCATTTAATGTAAAAATCACAGACGTGTCTGGGTTAGCTGACCGTGGGAATTTCCAAAACAGGATATTCAGAGTAGGTAAAACTTAAGGTCAGTTTTACCAACCCAAAGATGACCACCTAGCGAACTAGTTATCCTCAACCATAACAAGCGATTAAAATGTCTAGCACTGTAAGAACTGAGCCAAGTTCAAGCACGCACTAAAAATAAATGATCGAAACTATAGACTCATCAAAATAGCACGTAGGGGCGAAAATGCGAGACTTAAATAAAACACAAGGTAAACCTAAAAATACTCGGGATATCAATCCTTGAAAATTCTCTACAACAATATGTTCCTCAAATCGTTTACACGAATAAGCTTACTGGATTCAAAACGGTTTTCGGATTTAATTATTGTCGAGTGCGATTTTCGAACTATTGAGATACTCCGAAAAAAACCAAAAGAAATGAGAATAGAAGAGCTCCAAAGAGAAATAGAAAGCATTTCAAAGAAGAATGAATGTTTAAAAATTTTTTTTTTCTATTGAAAGATTTGGCGCCGACAATTCTGCTGTGTCCTTCTACACTTCGTTTCCTAAAAACGCTGTTCTAATGGAAATCTACAATTATCTAGACCCTAGAGTGTGTTATAGGATTGTTTAATTCCGCTCTGGTAAACAGAGGCATCTTCTGAAGTGAGTAGCCCCACATAGATTCAGGGGGGAACTTGACGGGAACATGTCGTTTAGCGGTGCAGTGTGAACTTGTGTTGTTTCCTGAGCGTAGCTCATTTCGTTTAGAAGAAAGATTGTTGAGATCAGGATCAATGATATTTTTATCCTTTCCACTCTTGATGTATTCAAGGACCCTAAATTATAAGAAATTAGGTCAATTTAAGTGTAAAGAATCACGATTGACAATTTTCTCAAAAAATCAAAACACCTCGAAGTACGCATCTTGTGCTTGAAACTAGCCTTTTCACAAGCTCTGCTTTTATCTTTAAGCTTTCGATGGTTCACCTCTGCACTTCAACCAGAATCTCAAGTCCACAGTCTTCAATTGTGAGGGATTTCTATCTCTTAAGGAAGTTCCAGGAATGTAATTTTCGGTGAAAAAGCTCCAGGAATTGTGAGAGTTTGTATTCGCGTCAGACGCATATGTGTTGCCCGGGTGGCCTCGCTTTCGTGAAATTATTCATAAACAGTCTCAGACCTCCATCGGATTTTCCGCCATTATGGCAAAGGTGTATA